GAACTCATTTGTTTATATATATATATATAAAATTTCTCATTTATTTGGTGTCATTTTATGTAAAATGAATAAAGGTATATTCTTTGATAGCAGAAGTATATAAATAAATCATTTATAAAATAGTTTTAAGATTTTCAGTTTAGATTGATGGACCCATGTCATGCAGTGCCCACGGAGGTCAGAAAAAGACATCAGATCCACTGAAACTGGAGTTATGGACGGTTGTTAGCTGTCATGTAGGTGTTAGGAATTGAGCCTGGGTCCTCTGCAAGAACAGCCAGTGCGCTTAACTAACTGCTGAGCCTTCTCTTGAGCCCCTGATAATGGCTCTTAATACTGCATTATTCTTGATGTACTGTAACCCTTTAATATGTGTATGTTTTATGACATTGTGAGATTGTAAACTCCTTTGGAGGCAATATTTTTTTTAAAGTAAATAATTTGTTGAGAATTTCATACATGCATATAAGGTGTTTTGATCAAATCCATGCCCACTCCCTCCCCTCCAACACCTCCCATATCTCCCCATTACTTTTTCTGATAACTTTATGTACTCTTCTTCTTTGATTTATTTATTTTTATGGTGCTTTTGGCTACTCTAACATTCCCCCCTCTGAAGAAGTAACCCTAAAATCTTTTAAGGATTAGATACAAGCTCCCAAATACTTTCGACATTTTTGGCCTTTGGAACGGAGTATGTTGCTAAGAGGCCCAAGGACATTGTGAGTTTTAGCCAAGAAACTGGCTACTTTTCTTTGGGGTCATTTTACCCTAACTGCCTAGCCAATTCCTACCTCCTAGTCTTATCATACCATCCTCTGAAGAGGTTACCCAACTTGCGGATAGGGAATCAGGACGCAAACCACTCTGGCTTGTTTCCATGCTGATCCGGGACACAGGGTGAGGCAATTAGAGTCCCCCTTCAGTGGGTCTATCTAAAAGACCCCCAAATTGCATAACTCTTTTCTCTAAAGGGAAAAGAAAGTCATTGAATCCTGAATAGGAGATGTGAAGGAGAAATAAAGGCAAGAGTAATTAGCATTACAAGTTCTAGATAGGAAACTAGAAAAAAGAACAAGGCAATTTTCAAATGTTCATATGAGAGTCCATTCGAATTTCTTGACAAGGGCTTCCAAAAGCATCCCTCTATTGGGTTCCTCCTCATTTTCCTTTTGTCTTCCAAGGTTGTACTTTAGAGCGATGTACTCAGGATTCGCTTTCAGGTATTTTGGTAGCTGTTGGGGTGGTTAGAATCAGTGTCAGTTCCCTCTCAAAGGCTTCTAGATAGAGGGAGAAAACACATTTATCCATCATTTTAGAATAGCTGGTTGTCTCCCTTAGCTACAGGTGGGCACTACAGTGTTGCAGAGCAAGATTTGAAGTCTTACATCTGAGCAGCACTTTCTGGATAGGAACAAAATCATCAATGAGAAATAATTATCTAAATAACTTTTTTATATGCTTAAACCTAATGTCTGGGGAACGTGTAATCCTTTGAACTCTTAAAGAAATATACTGATGACTTTACTTTTTGGTTATGCTTTCCTTTTGGGTGTTTAAGACCATACAGTTGGCTCAAATAAATCAATTCATTTTTACACTTAAGGTCATTTGAGGATCTGTCTCTCAGGGGTCACATGGGCTTGAGAGGAGTTCCTGGCTCCTTTCTTTTACCAGTTCCATCTATGTGAAAATAAATCAAAAGGTCCTATTCGACCAAGTCTGGCTTCACTTGGAACCATGAATGAGACGTTTCCTCTGAGTTGACCCTCCTCTTTGTAGACTGGACACTGGTTCCAGTCCATCTCGTGGGGGTCTCCATGTCCTCCCTGAACAAAAGGACAGGTGACTCACCACAGTTACAGGACATTTTGGGAGATGTTCCATAGTCCCCTGGAACTTAGTCGACCTTGGAGGGTAAGGGGCAAACACTGTCCTTTGAGTCCCTCTGACCACATTAGTGTAGGCCTCAAGTTATGGCTGTTCAACATCCAATAATGTTAGTTCCACCAGTCTGGTACTTTTAATTATCGTGTGCTATGTAGATAAGGCTTGGGTAAAAAAAAACAAATATTCTCAGATAAACCTTGACTAGATACATATTTTGTTCCTTAAACTAGTTGACTAAACTATGACCATAGAAACTTTAAGATGATTTGTATACTATCTTTGTCTCATCCTTTATATTATCATAACAAACCTACACAGACCTTCATCACTTGCTTAGGCTTTCTCACTTTTTCTGTTTTGGAAAATATCTCCATTCCCACATCCTTTAAACATCTTTTTCATTCTCAT